TTTATGTGCGTTATCTGCACCTCGCAGCAAAGATTCCATTATATTCTTCCCGAAATTACCTTGGCGGGCGGAACTGCAAGTTTCAACTTTCCTAATCTGTACGACTCTTCGAAGCTCCTCCATCAAAAGAGATGCAAATTCATGGAACATTCGGACTCGAGTCTAGCCCCGGACGCGGTCTCCCCGCAAAAGATGACCTGTCAAGTGGCAACTGGGCAAGTTTTTGTTTCCCTTCAGTTGACGCCTATCAAAATACCTGCATGCTCGATATGATTGGGGAGAAGAGGCAGGCGTTCAGGAGGAAAGACGTCTCTCAGCCAGTGGCTGTCGATGATTTAATCTCCTGTCCCGCGGGGTGTCTTGCAGGCAGGCTCACCGGGTTGTTTTGTTCCCGCCAAGCCTCAAAGTGCAGCAGGAGCCTACGGATGTTGATAAGGGGCCATCCGTATGTACTGTACAGCACATCAACCGTCTGAGAAAGCGAAGGGGGCTCTGCGCTGAGGGCTGAAGGAGCCCAAGGAGCTCATCTCGCAGAGATCAGGGACGAACTTTCAAGATTGAGAACAGGGGTCGACGATAAGCTTTTTGTCTCTCTCCAGTTCCTTCTCATGAGCAGAGCCCCAGAGTATACAGTACTACACAGCGGGATCCATGTCAATACACAAATCTTCCGAGAGGAGTCGAAGAACCCAATATGTCTCAAACGTATGCTCCTATGCCCAGCTTGCATCCTACAAGTCGGGTGTTCAGTAGTTCGTCCCATAGCGGCAACTTGCAGAAAGACTTGCAGTTCTTGAGGCTTCACGGTGGCCAATAGGGTGACTCGCAAGTTTGTTGGTCATTTCCTGTCTGGTGTGTATGTATTTGGTATTTCCTCATTCGTTGTTGTTTTCTTTTGGATGTGTGTTACGGTTACGAGGCGAGAAAGAATGGAAGTTTAAGTTTGCCACGCGAGCTCCAACGACGACACTGCCTCTATACCGTTGATCCATCACCATTTCTGTATGTAGGTTGTATACAGAAATAGAGATCTAGATGTTTTTATTGCGTTGTTCTATTCCCATGATTCATTGATCTACCTCAGCTGACGGCAAGGCTGGGATCTGGAGCTGTTGATCTGCTTCATCTTGACAAGTTTGGGTGAAGGATATCAACGATGACCTGCCTTGCCTTTGATAAATCCAAGTGGTTATTATCTCCATCTAGCGCCGACGCAGTGACTCCTGTCGGCTAATATGGACAACAACAAAAAACAGAATCTGCTCTCTCAGGCGGCCGGAGAAGAGCCAACGAACGGCATTGACAAGTGATGCAATGATCGTCATGGAGACGGGCCAGTTCAGAGTCAACAATATCCTTGCTCATGGGAGACAACGACAAAGTCTTGATATTTGCCCCTGCGGCTAAGACGAGACGACGATTCCGCAACATGGCATTCTATTTCGAGACATTCATATCGTCGATGATGCATTGTGTGCTGGTGTTTCTACTTTCTTTACTGTGGTTGAGAAGACGCTGACAGGCTCGGCGATAGCTTGTTCCAGTGGCAATGGTGAAGAGACCAGTTGGATACTATCTCATGCTGGCAGACTTTACTGTCAAGTAGGACCGTCAGCTGGAGCAGGGCAGAAGACATTCTCGATATGATGGCTCGATATTATGCTTCCCCGTTGTGATATTGACATGCAGTACACGTGTATTGTCCAGCCACTACAAAACGCAGCGTGGAAATGGGTCATGCTGGGTGGGTAATGAAGCCTTCCTCGCGGGATGAGCCGCCTGGCTTCAATGGTTAATGCTAGTTTTCATTTTTTCTTTCTTTTTTCTTTCTGTCAGGCCTGTCACCTGGACCGGTGGAGGTTGAAAGACACGCCAAAGGATACGGATAACCCATACCTTTCCCATAAACTCCATTACATCCTCCTGGCTGGGCCACAAGCAAATGGAACAATGGAAATATCCAATGTCCACAATCACAAACAACAGGTGAGACCACGTGGGGGAGAAGGGAGGCGGGACATTTCTTGTTTCTTCTTTTGTCTTCTGGAGTCTTGGACCCTCGGTGCTTTTCGCTTTCTTAATTCCTCCCGGTGTGTGAGTACGTATTGTCTTTCCTTTCTTTTCACGAGAAAGTCTAATGAAGTCACGGAACAGATGTCTCAGTCCCTTGAGGAGAGCAAGACACGAGAAGCGGACTCTGGGAGATATTGAAAAAACAGACGTACTCACTCAGCCTTGGGTTTCCCGAGACATCTGAACTAGAAACCCAACTCCTTTACGGGGATCGAGGTCTCAGTCCCAACCAGATAGATGTACACGTAATTATGTTGCTGGAAGGGAATACGAACTTGACATTGTAAAGAAGGCTAGATAGATGAATCAGACGACGGACAAATCGGGGAAATTAAAATATTAGCAGGCAAGACACACCCGCACACTTGCGAGACATGTCCATGGATTGGTACGCGATGAACACGCACTCACACGATCTCCCTCTGTGCCGTCGTACCTACTGTTCGAGATCTCTCATCGCCCTTTCAGGCCATTATTGGTCGAAATCTTTGTGGACTGTCGTTCTGCTCTCGATTTTGATCCGTCCAGATGACTAGTCCAGTTGGCTTTGCCCCCTTTATGCTGTTCGATAGCCTGCCAATTCGCTTGCTGTATCTTGAATTTAACTCGAGGTAGAAGATGTTGACAATGCCTGTTTCTCTCACTTGTGAGCACTTGCAATAGAAAGAACCTCCCATCTTTGAACTGATATATACAAAATCTGCAGTGGGCAGGATTAAATCAGTGTAATGAGATCAACAAAGGGATGTGAGGGAACGGGAACACCTGTAGTACATACACCACAAGACCTGATACAGCCGTGTCATGATCCATTCATTGAAGAATGCCCTGGTGGGACCCCTTTAAACTTGACGGTTTCTTGATGGTTCGTATATCGAAGGCTAATTGTCCATGCTATACTCCGTACAAAATCATAGATCCTTGTTCGCCTCGTCATCTTGCTGTTTTCGTGGAGGCGTGTTGAGGCGTTCAGCCCCTGTCTCGGTCTCATCAATGGGAAAGTAACATTAAGGGGGCCCGCGCTTGCGCGGCTCGGGCCGTACGGGCGCCTGGATATCCTTCGCATTGCGGATGTCGATGGACCAGACCATATTGGGATTGAAGTTGTGGACTCCTCAGAGCTTAAAGTAGGGAAGGCTGGATAGATTGAAATTGAGGCTGAAGAGATCCGGCCTGTCTGGCTATCCTACTATGAAGTTACCCATCAATCGGTGCTCCGCTGCGCGTGCAAGACTGGAGGTAGGTAGTCGGGCTCATTTCACCAGTGTTTATATCTCTGTCGATGTGAGTGGAATGTATTTCCCCAGTACTCATTTGAAGACCGTGCGAGATCAGATCACCATCTTGAACTCAAAACAATGTGCTCCGGTGATACGATTATACTATTTGGAAGCATTGGGCTTATTATCCAGTCCTGCTAGCTAGCGTATGTGAACCTGAGCAAACCTTTTTATATCTTGGTGAATATAAGATACCATTTACACCTCCTTGCTAGTTGGCTGACCTACTCCATGGGTTCCGAATGGCCTTGTAGAATATCGTTAGCATCAGTACCCACCAAACCGGCAGCCACCATTGCAGTGATAACTTGCAAAGAGAATATCCCCAGGCGGAGGTCAAGTCTCTAATTACCCCATCCATAGTTGGTGTCAATTCGAGGATGAGCCAGTTCTGGTACCCGGCTGACTAGACTAAACGATAATATGGCAACTGGCATGTTTCGAGATACCACATGACTGCAAGTGCCTCCTAGGACTTACTTCCAAGGCAACGGACGGATAAGGAATGCGAGACGGTCCATGGTTAGAAAAAGCGCGATAAAAACCACTGTCGAGAGGGTCTAAACTGTCTGGTGTTGCCAACCAAGACTGGAGATAATTATGGGCGTTTGATGATCTGGCATCCATCCTTCTTGCAGCCAGATCCTTGTTCTATCCCAATTCCTAGACATAATATCTAGCCCCATGATGTTCCAAACCACATGTAATCTCTGGATGTAATTATATAAAACATGCATATACGGCATTGACAGATGCGTGAGCCAGCTCCAGTTCAAGAAGAGATGTACTTTCAAGTCCGTTCTTTATCGACATGGGAGTAATTACCAAGTACGTTCAGCACTCACCGAGGAATTATATCGTCAGATTTCCTTGACCCATCACTGTGATTCCAGGTGTGGTTCTGTTCTCTCTTGCATTAGTATGCTAAAACATATGTTGTTGTTGAAAGGCAATGAACACATGCAAAAAAAAAGGGGACGGAAAGCCGGCAGACCCGCAACATCCTCAGCAAGGTTCCAAGAAACGCAAAGAAAACCTTGCTGGCTGGTCTGAAATACTCACTTGCTTTTGTTATGTTTGTTGATTAGACGGCCACCACGGAGCAACCGCTATTCTACACATCACGTATAGTACGTTCTTGAACGAAAGGACAATACCGACAAATGGAGTATAATGGCGAACAGGGAGGAGAGCAGGTGCATTTGAGACATGCCTATAGACTCAACTTCCCATATAAGCCTGGTCTTGCTTGCATTAGCAAGATTGATACCAAGAAGACAGACAATATTCTTCTACTCATAGTACGATGTGCCATATAAAGTAGTATCAGAACGGCTTTGTTGTCCGATCATTACTGTCATGCCATGTCAACTAAACAGGTGTACGTACGTACGTAAGACAAATAAATATCCAAGCAATATAAATCAAGGGTGCCTTTCATCCGCCGTCTTCCCCTTTGGTTGTCCAGACAACACGTCTTTTAAGTTTTGCCCCTGAAAGCAACATGTACTGTGTGTGTACGTACGTACAATGAATGGCAATATGAATAAAGACAAGGAAGAAAATTCAACCATTGTGTTAACAACAAGAAGAACAAATAGACAGACAGCACACACATGCAGCAAACTGCAAAAATATATAATTGCTTGCGGTTTATGTGGATCGAACACATGACCTTCAGATATCATTGCTTCACGGTACTCCAGTCTAATAACCAGAAATTGTACGTGAGAAACAACCGAAGTGGACTTCAGTCTGACGCTCTCCCAACTGAGCTAAACCCGCTTTGCTTTGTTTCTTACTGGATTACTACTCTCTACTTTATTCTTTTTCCCCAGTAAGTACGTAACTTTGTGTGCTGTGGAGACCGTTGCCTTGCGGATACTCAGGACAGCCGGTCCGGATCAGGGTTAACCCTTCAAGGTAAGGCAAAAAGAAACTTTGATTGGGTAGGATGGGCCGTCAAACTCCATTTGCGGTGCGGTGAGGCAGAAGGCGAGTGCTGAACCAGCCATAAAGGGTTTAACCCTGATCTAGGTCTTCCCAAGTTTAAAGCGTTAGGACATACATAGTGACTGACTTGTGTCAATAGTTGCACGGTTGACTTACACCTGAGATGTGGAACCATGTCCATGAAACGTTGGCAGATCTACGCATCATGGCTCACGTTACGATTCAAAAGTATCACATGCCTAGGTACCTGACATTCAGGGTCCAAACACACAAGTGAGCCCGATAGAACCAAAGTCATCCGGCGAAAAGAAGCAAAGAAACCACGAGCATACATACATTATCACATGTGTAAACGGGATAACACCGGTAGTAGAGTGAATAAGTCGTTCCGGGCCTCAATTTATTAACGAGGGAGAAGAACAAAAGGTCCACATCTGACTAACTTATAGCCTGACAAGACCAGGAACCATCACGAGAGTCACTGTGTAGGTACTTGAGAGCACCATAACAGTTGCGCACTAGGTTGACTATCGGTTTCATTCTGCACCAAAGAAGGCAGACGAAGGCCCTATGGGATTCCAGCAAAAGTCATACAGAATGTGAAAGTAACCAGCGATGGAGACCACGAAACAATGTTGTCTTGACCAGGCTGGCTTCCACATCATTGACCATATACTGTAGTTTAAATCGACTTCATCTTCCATGATTCGTCTGGCTAATGTGTAGCTCACTTACCAAGTTCCGTGTCATGCTAGGCGAACCTAGTGCCGAAAGGTGGTGGGCAGATAATCACGCCGTCAACAAAACGACGAACGACCATGGAAGCTTTCTTTGGTTCTGGCCCTATTGCTTATTCCCTTTGGTTATTCGAGTCAATGCTCTCCGCATCCACAAGACCGTTCCAAAGGCCGGTGGTTGCACCCTTTGAGCAACAGTGCCTAGCCATTGTCCAACCAACGGATATCCTGCCCATCGTGGTCAGATATATCTTTCCATACCCAAGAAAGGTGATGATGGGCTGAACCTTCTTTTTAGCTTCGTGCCCACATCCGCCAATCACCAATAAAGCCATACAGGCAGGTAAGCAAATCCGTTGGCGGATGAACTGGCCTTGCTTGGCTAAAGCCCAGACAGATAGAGGTGAAGGGGCTCTCTTGGTGGTCCACAAGCACGACATTGGCCCAGAGGGCGCCATCGATGAACCTTCCGTCGCCCGCTGGACTGGTTCAGGGCCCATTCCATGACGCCTATACCGGAGGACTCCCCACTCAGGTACATACGTACTCATGTATCAATGCCGGTGAGTCTCCGGCCGTTCAACGCCACGATATGAGATTGGACCCTGACTGGTGAGATCCAGAGGGCAGGCAGGACACTTGTCAAGCCCCGATGGACCAAAGAACCGAACCCATCGAGCTAAACTAATTAGCTTGATTGCGGCCCGGCGAGGCATATGATATAGACCACGAACTAGTGAGCAGGCGGCTGCTCTTTCCAAGGAGATCCAAAAACCTGGTGATACCGTCACTCACTGACGGTGACATGCCGATATCCGAGACTGCTAGAGTCTTTGGACCATCAACATGATAATCGAGGAAACGGGAGTAAGGTTATCGGGCATGCTGCAGCCCACGATGTAACCAGGACACCGTGAAGCTCCCAAGCCAACCTACACGACGGATTAGCGCCAATATCATGCCTTATCTCAAGAGTAGTGCCCAAGAAAAAGAAAGAGCACCGGCTAAGCGGCGGTTGAGGGCTCGCCGAGAGAGAGAGGTCCCTTCGTCTTGATAACCCTCACATTGACCTTCAGCAGTCCAACGGTCCATGACATCAGTGTTGGGAGGAGGAGCTAGACTCCTGGTAACCAGTGAACTTCCGAAACGCGCCGATAAGGTACCCATTCCGTGATCAAGCCTCCTCGAGATAAACTTTGAACTTTCGATTCGATCAAGGGTCTATCAACCGGCTAGGGCTGGACGGGCTGGGATGGCTTGGGCTTGACCGAAACGTCTGGGCTGCAGGGCGAAGCAATGCATGGCGCCGTTTTGTGATTCAACTTGGACCCCTTCAGGGACCGGAGGAGGAATAAGAATGCTTTTTCCCTCGAATAGCGAGCCCGGATTGTGTGTATCCGTGGTGGTGTAAGTGAGACCAAGCTTTCCTGGGTTCATCAAGCCGTCTCGGCTACTTCCTATCTTATCCTCAAGTTGACCCCTGATGCCGAGATGCTACCACAGACAAGTGCCTCATGCCAAACGAAAATTGCGACAGGTCACGCCGCCAGATCGGCAGGCCCTGAATGGACAGCGATCTTCCCCAAGATCTGGGGTTATCAAGATAAGGGAAAGTACTAAGAAGAACGTAAGAAAAAGCGCAGGAATAACAACAAGCACCAAACTCTGCAGGCTGGTCGTGTATATATAAAACTCTCCAACGCCCTGCTGGACTTGTTCGTCTCCTGGGACCTGATACGTCTGGCGAAAACGAAAACGAAGGACGACCAAGGACCGAACCTATGGACCTTATGGATTCCCCAGGCCGAAAAACGAAGACTCCTGCTGGCAACATTATAAACACACATGGTACTATCAAGGATGTCAGGAGAGACGGGCCGTGACGGACGAGCGACTTGATCCAGAAGTGTCGACTCCTGACAGTCGACACAATGTCAGTCGCCAGGGTTAGGGTTCGACATGGGCCGACTTCGATCGATCAACCTGTTGACGAGAAAGCACTCTCATTGGTGCGCAAATGAAAGGAGAGAGCAACACGAACACGATCCCTTTTTCCACGATCGACCAGTCAGTCCAATGCTGAAAACCACGTCGCAGAGCGACACGTCCCTCCAACATGACGAGGCGGCACAAAAACGAGGGCGAGACCCGCTGGGCCGCGCGAACCCCCGCGTTCTGTCCCGCGCCGCAGGAGCACGTCGCGGGGGTGAAATTGGGGGACCCCCACGTCGGGTCGGGACCCTCATTGGCTCTGCAATGTCCAAAACTCCAAATTGGATCAGCGTCTACCCTCCATGGAAAGAAGAAAAAAATCCCGCAGTTCGTCTGGCAGTGCTATGGGTGACGGGGAGAAGGAAAGTGTTCCTGGTGAGCATTTTCATCATGTTCCGTACGCAGTGGCAAATGGGAGGGCGGGCACTCGGTTTGTCTCCGGCTCCCAACCCGGTGGGGTGACAGACATGCCGTAGTGGTCATCCTCTTCTGGATTGCCGGTATGTTGATGCCGACCGGCCACCGTTCAGTTCCGAGGGCATCATCTCAACAATTATGTCCTGTCTCCGGGTTGTTGGAGTTGATGCTGGCAAGTACAAGTATTGGCAGCCTTGGCTGTTCTTGGTTGCGGTTCAAGGGGCCGCGATTTTGAGATGCATCGAGCATCCCGGTACCCACTTTTCCGGAAACTTGCGAAAAAGACCGGAAGAGCGGCCACCGCCCAGAACAGACCTTGTGGATACGAAGTACATGCTCGGCGGCTCACCAAAGGCTGCTGCGAACCTGCGACCGACTTTGCGAATCATTCCCAGCATGTGATCTCAGAGACAGCCTTTGCTTCGAGCGGGCCGATTGCGGACTTTGCACCGGGCGTTCTCTGCAGTGCCTGCACCGGTATTCCGTTGAATACTGTGTGCAGTCCGAATGCTCTGTGCTCACCGCAGGCTTTGGATCGGTTGGATAATTTGCCATTTCTGGGATTTCCACTGAGCCGCGGAGAATGAGATGGTTCACGTCTTCGGCCTCTGAAACCATGTCATCCAGGGCTGGTTGTTTTTTGAGGACTCTTCATAAAGACGCAGGCTTTGGCTAAATTGCCCGATGGTACCCTTCTCCGACAGTCGTATTTGGCGTGGGCCAGCCTCCCATGGTGTTGCCGACACCGCCAGCACCATCCCTTGCCAACAGTGTGTGCAACGGAAACTTGTCAAAAACTCAGAGCTGAAACGATTCTGTATGAATGGTCGAGTTGCGTGTGGAGTTTACCGCGCTGCTTGTGGTGTCAGGGGAGGCTCCCAGCCCCAATAACGGATCGAGGTCAAGAGTTAGGGATAGAGCCCGAAACTAACAACCCATAAAAGATCCACAGATCGGAAAACAGAGGAACGTCATGGCGCTAGCGGTCCGTTGCCAATGCAACAGATGGTAAGTCCATTGTGGCGGTCAAGTTTGAGACGTTGAGACTTCGGCAATTAGGGATGAGTAACGAAATTTTCAGGTTTCGAATTTCAAGTAATTCTTGAAAACCGTTTCGAAATTTACCGTCTTGGAATTCAAGATTTTCAGATTTCAAAAGTGGGTCCTATTTATATCGGGGGTTACCATAGATCAGGGGTTAGTTATATATAAAATTGTCAGGGAACTACCTTTATATATAGGCAGTACCTTCACCGCCTTCCCAATACAGTTAGTGTTGAAATTCGAATGGGGGGGTCTTTCCGAAATTACTCATCCCTATCGGCAATTGCGTCCTGTGTAGCCAGACAAAGGGTATCCATATGGAGGAGAGACATGCAGAGACATCCGTCAGTGCCTGTCAGGCTTGTGGAAGCGGGCCTTCACGAGTCTACCGGGCCACCTGGCTGGAAGTTTGGAGGGGCTGGAGGGGTATCGGGATATACTCGTGTGGAATAAACCTTCGAAAGCGGATAGCTGCTCATAGTGATCGGTAGTCCCCATAGCAGGTTAATTTCTTCTCTCCAAAGTAAACAAGGATCACCTATCACCGCTCCAGTTCAGCTTCTCAGCGTTCGGCAGGTTTGAATGTGGTATGTTGCCAAGACCGTTGAGAGATCGTCCAAATTTCCCGCTTGGCGGACTGGA